TTTTTGCTTATGTGGTGCTGAGGAATTGAACCCAGGGCCTCATGCATGCAAGGCAAGCACTCTACCACTGAGCCACCTTCCCAGCTCCAATTTATCTCTCTTTAAAAACTCTCTTGTCAGTTTCCCTTTGTTGCATTTGGGGGCTTTGCTATGGTGAGCATACACATTTAAAGTCCTCTTTTCACAGACTATCTTGTTCTAGAATATCTCCATTGCTTGTAATGCTTTGATCTCAGCCAACTTTTTTATGTTTCTTATGTCTAGTTTTATTATTTTACTTTTAACCTCTCTTCATGTTTAAAGTTTTTCTTTTTTTGGTCAGTCATGGGGCTTGAACTCGGGCCTGGGTGCTATCCTTCAGCTCTTCAGCTAAAGGTGAGCTCTCTACTGCTTGAGCCACAGCGCCACTTCTGGTTTTCTAGTGGTTTATTGGAGATAAGAGTCTCACAGAGTTTCCTGCCTGGGCTGGCTTTGAACTGTGATCCTTAGATCTCAGTCTCTTGAGTAGCTAGGATTACAGGCGTGAGCCACCGGCACCGGCTTAAAGTCTTTCTTATAAGTACCATGTGAGTGGTTTTCTAAAAATCCAGTCTGACATCCCATTATTTGTGTTGCTTATAATTCATTTGGTTTTAATGAAGTTGTTGACTGATGCACTTGGAATTAAAAGCATCATTTCAATGTTTGTTTCCCTTCCTGCCATCTGCTTTTCTTCTTTTTCTGCCAAATTTTGGTGAATCAGGTGTTTTTCTATTCCATTTTTCTATTCCATATGAACCTTGTGTGAGAAAGTTTTGAGTAGCCACTGAAGAGTGGCTGCTCTTGAAGCCTCAGCCTGCATGCCAGATGGCCACAGCTTGCCTTGCCGTCTGGAATCAGGTAGAGACACTCCTCCTGCTAGAGCCCTCCTGCTCCTCCCTGACCGTGAGGAGTGGGAGACAAGCATAAACTTTTGCTGACAGCAGGAACTTGCGTGAGGAATTCTTCACCTGGCTGTCAGGATCTCCTACAGGATGTGCTGTGGGGCTGAGTGGGTAGAGTGCCGGATGCTGTTTACATGCAGTGCCGTGCAGCACCACCACAGAACTGCAGGCCCAAAATCTGGACTGAGGGGGAAAAGGGACTGAGTTGGTTTGGCATAAACACATAGGAACAGAATAAAATCACAGGAATGTTTGATGGAAGGCTCTCAGAGACACGGCACCTGTATGTCTCCCTGAGTATAGCTCTCCTATGTGCATAATAGTAAAGAGTCCTTGTCTTGGGTTTGGGGTATAGGAGGAAACTCAGGATCATTGCAAAACGAATTATTAGCCTAGGCTCAAGTTACAATTCACTGATTGAAAGCTTTCTTTCAGGTTTCTGATGTGAAAGAGTTGACCGTCCCACAGTGTCTTTCTGACCTTCCGCCATTTTCAAGGTGTCTGGTAGGAATAATAATAAAGTCACCAAACGTGGTCAGGTAATTGTCTCCTTTTCTAAAATATACTGAGGCTATAAGGTGCCTAGCATTTTTGCTCTATTCTCAGATTTAAAAAAAAAATTTCTGCGCCCCCCTCCCCCACCTTTTTTTTTTGGCAGATGTGTGGTCTAAACTCGAGGTCTGGGCTCTGTCCCTGAGCTCTTTTTTGCTCAAGGCTAGCACTCTACCTCTTTGACTCACAGCTCCACTTCCAGTTTCTGATGGTTAATGGGAAATAAGAGTCACATGGGCTTTCCTCCCTGGGCTTGATTTGAACCATGAACCCCAGATCTCAGCCTCCTGAATAGCTAAGATTACAGGCAGGCATGAGCCACCAGCACCCAGTTTATTCTCAGATTTTTAAAAAGTGTATCTTCTGTCTTTTTTTATTTTTGCCAGCCCTGGGGCTTAAAATCTGGGACTGAGTGCTTTCTCTGGGCTTTTTTGCTCAAGGCTAGTGCTCTAGCACCTGAGCCACAGTGTCACTTCTGGCTTTTTCTGAGTAGTTTATTGGAGATAATAGTCCATGGACTTTCTTGCCTGCCTGGCTTTGAGCTGGGATCATAATCTCAGCCTCCTGAGTAGCTAGGATTATAGGCGTGAGCCACTGGCATTTGACAGCATCTTTTGTCTTTGAGGAACACATTCTATAGAAGTTTCCTCCATTTATCAATGACTGAAAAATATATTAAACTTACACAAAAAGAAACTCCAACTTTCTGTAAAGTGTATTCATCTAGTGTGGTTATGCCTACCATCATTGAGTTAGAAAAATGTAAACATGTAGTAAAATACTTCCTACTGTGTACTTTCAGAACTTTCCTAAGTTAAATTTCTGTGCAGTTTTTGTTTTATACACATTGTAACGTGTGCTCTAGTCCTTGTGTCATCTCGTGACCCAGTTCTAGGGTCTTATAGAGCACAGGCCTGAAGATGCAGAGGGATTGTTCTGCATATGCTGAACGCCTGGGGCCTATACAGAGCAGATGCATTCCTTCTTAAGTACTTCGGGACTGTAGAGAATAAGTTTTTCTTCCTGCCATGTTTCTGTACCCTTTCCAAGAACATCACCTGGTTTTTAATCCCTCACCTCGTGAGCTTGGCATTTTGAAGTGAAGTATGTGAGAAGAGCTCAGATTTTCCTCTTAACTTACCAAATAGCACCTGTGGTTACTGGTGATCCGTAACTGTTTTCTGAAATGCATTAAGCATATACTATAAAGTAACTGCAGCTATTTAATTTTGTAGGTCATTTTTGGATGAGCTGAAGGCATGTGTGAGGTCTGGCGATATTGAAGGCATTGTGTGTCTCACAGCTGTTCTTCATATTATTTTGGTTATTAACACAGGTTGGTTATTTTTCTCCTTCATCTGATGTATTGTTACATATTCTTTACCCTGACTCATAGGGATATTGGAAACTTTTGCTTCTGTGTTTCACCTCTCCCCTGCAGAGGTGTTCTTACAGCCTTTCCATCCATGTCCCTGGTGTGCTCTGAATACAGAGCTCTCCACCTGGCTTTTTCTTCCAGGCCAGCTTAGGTCTATCTTTGAATGAACTTGCTCCATTTCTTTTTTCTTTTCTTTTTCTTTCTTTTTTTTTTTTTGGGGGGGGGGGTGGTCAGGTCATGGGGCCTGAACTCTGGGCCTGGGCGCTGTCCCTCAGCTCTTCAGCTCAAGGCTAGCACTCTACCATTTGAGCCACAGTGCCACTTTGGCTTTTATTTTCTTTTTGTTTATGTGGTACTGGGGAATCTAACCTAGGGCCTCATGCATGCAAGGCAAGCGCTCTACACTGAGCCACCTTCCCAGCCCCTGCCCCATTTCTGCAATGCCATTTCTGTCTACCTTTTACTTGCCACTTGTTCAATTTCTCTCTGTGCTTTAGAGTTGGATTTGTGTTCATTTGCCCTGCATTTCCAATATTTAAAAATTGGGGCTGGGAATGTGGCTTGGCGGCAGAGTGCTTGCCTAGCACACATGAAGCCCTGGGTTCGATTCCTCAGTACCACATACACAGCAAAAGCCAGAAGAGGTGCTGTGGCTCAACTGGTACAGTACTAGCCTTGAGCAAAAAGCTCAGAAACAGTGCCCAGGCCCTGAGTTCAAGCCCCAGGACTGGCAAAAAATGAAAAATAAATTAAAAATCTGACTATGTATGTTGGTGCAAGCCTAAAGTTTCATCTATTCAGACTGAGGTAGGAGGATTGCAGGAGCAACATAGACCTATTTTCACAAATAAAAAAGATAATGACAAATTTGCACCAGCTAAGACATAAGATTTACAATAACCATTTTATAAACACATAAATTCAAATTCAGTAGGAAATACACAAAACACATAGGAATTATAGCTCATTCAAAGTGAAAAGGCACCTTCTAGTGAGTTTTTGACCTGCTCCGTTTCCGACCTGGGCCGGTTCACCCCTCCTTAGGCAACCTGGTGTTTCCCCACTCCCGGGAGGTCACCATATTGATGCCGAACTTAGTGCGGACACCCGATCGGCATAGCGCACTGCAGCCCAGAACTCCTGGACTCAAGCGATCCTCCGGGCCCAGCCTTCTGAGTAGCTGGGATTACAGGCCCGCGCCACCGCGCCCGGCTAGTGAGTTTTTGTATACCAAAAATGATCCTGATTTGAAAAAGTGGTTTCTATAAAATGTCAGGCATTATTTTTTAAATATTATAAGTAAATAGTATCTTGATTAAACAGCAACATCAGCATTTCTTAGCAGACTGTAGTATATACATACAGGAGTAGGCATGCCCTGTTTCAAGTTTCCAGGTTTTATCATCATAAAAATGTTCTCTAAAACTGATCATATACACACACCAATGTAAAATGATGAGGTAAAGTATCTTATACTTTGAAGAAGGTACCTGAAACAACACTCAAATATCCTCAGCTGTCCAGACTCTAGAATAATGGTTTTCGAGGTCTTCCGTCATGATGATTTTTATATGTATCTGAACACCTGATGGTTTGTAATCTTCTCAGTACTCAGAAATCATCTTTTCTGTTACCACCAAGCAGTCAGGACTTCTGCCCATAGCACGGTCCCGCATGCTTTACGAACTACAGTGCCATTCAATGCCATGCTATAGCTCATGTGGGAATAATTAACCCAATCAGTTTCTTGACCCTGGCAGGTGAGAGAGGAAGAAACATTCCCAATTCAAAGGAATCGAAATGTGTCACTGTCCAAGAAAAGCTGCACCAGGAGACTATGGCAGTTTGGGATGTTATGAGCAGAATCCAGAGTCCTGGTAGTCCAGTATTTCCACCATCTTCATTTTTCAAGTTTTTGGCATGCAACTTTATTTTTTGTCACTTGTGGGTCTTGGACTCTGGGCCTGGGTGCTGTCCCTCAGCTCTTCAGCTCAAGTCTAGTGCTCTACCACTTGAGCCACAGCACCACTTCCCAGTTTTCTGGTGGTTTCTTGGAGATAGAGTTTCATGGACTTTACTGCCCGGGCTAGCTTTGAACTGTGATCTTCAATCTCAGCCTCCTGAGTAGCTAGGATTACAGGCATGAGCCCAGCACAGCATGCAGCTTTTGAGTGGGTGTGAGGGCGGTGAATTTGGTGGACACCACTGCTCCACCCCCTACAAGGTGTGGTGGTCTAAACTTGGGAAGCTGAAAACCGGAATTGGTGGAGGTTTCCTGGCAGAGGACTTTGCACAGCTGAATTAATTTTTTTAGTGATATACAGGTTGACATTAGCCTCTTGAACATCCAAACAGTTAAAATAGTACTGGAGAAGTAATTGGTAACACCTGTCCGATGCTTACCAGTGAAACAAAGGAGTGGTCCATGGAGAACTGCCTTTGAGTTTCTGGGTTGTTGGCTCAGTGACACTAATACTGAAATGATTTTCAAATTTAACACATTGTAGATAGAGATCGCCCCTAATGAAACAAGCTTTCCCCTTGGACCTGAAGGCATAGGAAATCTGTGGATTTATCGTTCAGGTTGAGTACCCTTATTCTAAACATTTGATTACAGAAGTCTTTCAGTATTTGGGATATTTTCATAGACTATATTGACTGAGAATCCCTCATTTGAAAATTTAAAAAAAGCTGGAACTTAGAAAATCATATAAAGTCAAAAACAGTCAGATTTTGGAGCATTTCTGATGATAGATTTCTGGGTTAGAGATGCTTGGGCCCCGAGTGAGCACAGAAAGGGTTTGTGTAAGTGAGAGATGCAGAAACACTGAGGTTTGCAAAGCAAGGGGTATGCCGCATGAGAAGGCAGAAGCGTAGCATAATGCTGGTGTCTGACACTGCATAGGCATGACCTTGAAATACGCCAGCTGTCATTCCTAACTTTGCAGTCCATGTGATCTCCCACACAACAGATGTACTTTCACGGACACTTGTTTAGTTGATGACCATTCTTGTAGAAGGGAAGACTTTTCTCACAGTCCAGCAGTGAACTGAACTTGGAGGGAAGGAAGGAAATTGACCATCTGCACACCAGAGTACACCTGCTTCTGTTGGTGATGTTGAAGTCTTTGTCTTTCAATGCACCCTCTCATAGGCAAACATGGGAATTCAAAGGTGAAGGAGGCTGCATACACTGTGTACAGGAAGCTGAAGTCATTCATGGAGATTACTCTGGAAGAGGATAGCATGGAAAGGTAAAATGTGAAACGCTGTAGCGGGGACAACCTGAAGACTGGGTGCTTTCTTTCTGGTTTCTTGGAAGTTTGGCATTGTCAGGGTAGAAGTTTTGCCATCTCGTGTACTTACTAATTCTGTTCTCACAAGCAAAGCTGTCACTTGAAGAATTCTACTTCAGGAAAGGATGGTCATTACACTCACCTCACATGTTTTCCCAGTGAATACTGGTTTTGGTTTTGGGTTTTTTTTTTGGTCGGTTGTGGGGCTTGAACTCTGGGCCTGGGCTATCCCTCAGCTCTTCAGCTCAAGGCGAGCGCTCTACTGCTTGAGCCACAGCGCCACTTTTGGTTTTCTAGTGGTTTATTGGAGATAAGAGTCTCACAGAGTTTTCCTGCGTGGGCTGGCTTTGAACCGTGATCCTCAGATCTCAGCCTCTTGAGTAGCTAGTATGACAGGCGTGAGCCACCGGCGCCTGGCGCAAATACTATTTAATGGCGGTTTTCTGAATTTGGAACCACAGCACTTTCTGAGCATAAATACCTGTCTGAGCAGGTATGTATTTGGGGGGATGGGAGGTCAACTGTTGCTCAAGGACTGATCGTGATAATCGTGTTTATGGGTCCCTTTTCCTTCCAGGGCCTCTTGTTGCTTTGGGTTTTCTTTGAATGCCCTAAATATTGTTCTTTAGACTGTTGAGAATTAGATTGCACTTTAATATCAGCCAAAAATCAGTGTCTCCCTGCTTTTTTATGAAGAAGTTAAGTGTTAGCAGAGCTATAACTCAGTAATAATAGTTTTACTTGTGTCTGGGAAATGAACCACACGACATAGCTACTTCTTCCTTTAGAGAAATGCTTTCATTATCCTAAATTTATGACTGGAGTTATATAGGTACAAATAGTATTTAATGTATTTCACTAGGAAATTGGACCTTCAAATGAATTTGTATTATACTTAATGGAAGGGCTGGCTGTTGAATATATTTCAGTCCCTGGTCACCCTAATTTTGATTACTCTTAGTGAAATGGGACTTTGTCAGCTTAATTGGGACCTTTCCAAAAAAATGAAGTAATAAATTTCCTTCATTTCTTTGAAATTTATTTCAGACTTCTTTTTTTCTGTTGGTGGTGCTGGGAATTGCACCAAGGGCTTCACACACAATAGGCAAAGCTTTACTACGTAGCTAAATCATGTCCCCAGCTCTTACCTCAGATCTTCTGAATCTTTTCCTGATAATTAGGAAATTAGATAATTGATAGCTTAGAGTATATATATGTGATATTTACTTTGAATGTGTGTCACAGGCAAACACTTGATCCCCCAGAGATGTGAGTGACTCTGCATGGTGTAAGCCGGAACCATGTGGCTGTGAGCTGTGTGCTCACAGCAGCAAGCTGGAGGGTGTGCCGAGGGGGTTGGATTTGTTCTGTCCCCAGGTCCTGATTTGTCTCCAGCACCTCTTCACTGCCCAGAATTTGTTTTCCATTTCAGTAGAAAGAAACCCTACATAATTTATACACAGCTCTGGCTGCATGGATTGTGGAAGAATAAGACATAGGAGCAGGTGGGTGGAGTTGAATTGTAAAATGGACTTTTCTTGGGCAGTTAATAAGTTAATGTGGGAAGCAACTCCAGAAAAGTATCAGAGATGATTCAAGCAAGATAATGATTTAAAAGCTGGAACTCCTTTGGATATAGAAGTATAGGCATTTCAGTGCTAGATGATATAGAGTCCTTGTTGCTCCTATTCTATATGTATTTTTGCTTTTGTAAATTATAAAGTGGTAATTATGAAAAATTAATCTGGAACATTTCAAGAATAAGTAGAATTGATTACGTATCCCAGTGTTCAGAGCTCTTGTGTAGTGCTATACTTTTATGTGATGTGTGAGCATCCTCCGGTATGCTTCAGACCACCTGTAGATTACGTATAATACCTACTACAATAGAAATGCACAGGAAAGTCTGTGTGTTTTATACTGTTTTTTAATCTGTTGATAGAGTCCATGGCCTGGAGCTCCTGGACACAGAGGACTGTTGAACAGGTCTTGCAATGTTAGGGTAACACAGTGGATTTTGCTTTAAAGCCATTAATTCACAGCAAAATTAGAAGAAAGGTACAGAGTTTCTATATAATCCCCTGCCTCCATTATTGATACCCTGCTGGAGTGGAACTAAGGAGCCTAAAGACTGTATCCTAGGGTCTGTGGTTTACATTAAGCTTTACACTTGCTTTTGTACATTTTGAAGGTTGGAGCAAATGTATAATGACATATATCTATTATTATAGCATCAGAAAGTAATTATTGCCCCAAACTTTTCTGTTCCTCCTAGCTTTCCTTCCTCTGTTGGAAGCACACGGCCCTCAGAAATGAGTAGAGACAGAACTCAGCAGGCACGCTGGGTAGGATGGTCTGCTAGCCCAAGGGTGACCTTGCCCCTTCTCCTTGTTACTGAGGAGTCAGGTTCACTATTTTCTTTACACTTGGTTTACCAGAATGATGAGTTAATACAAGGCAGTTGGAAAATACTAACCATCAGTGAAAGGTCCCTGCTGGGGGTTGGGTGGGGCTCTCCTTTTGGAAACAAAGGCACACATTTTTCTCCTCCTGGTGGAGTGGGGCTTGGGAATGGTTCTAGTTAGAGGAAGTTGGTAAACCCAGGGGAAAGTTCTCACTCAAGAGAACTCCATTGACATGACTTGATCACAGATGATAGTTAAAATTGAAATCAAGAGGCAAAGGATTAAAAAAAATATATGAGTACCAGGAACTATCAGTGTACAATGGTGACTGGCTACAAGATAGATACATTTTAGTTTGACAGAAAAGATTGCTTCTTCTCACTCTTCTGCCAACATACCCAGAACCAGTAGGGTTCCTCAGGAGGGACTGACGGTGGGGACTGTTTCACATAAGTAAGAAGGCCAGTGTCATGCCATAATGGTGTGCAGGCTGGAGAGCCCCAGAGAAGGGGCACGCCTCTGTCTAAATCCAGGGCTGAAGGCGGGAGGCCTAGAGCTGTGGTGCAGAGCTGAAGGGAAGGGTCGCGGAGCCTGAGGAGTGACGCTCCTTCTCTGTTTTCCTGGGATTTAACCTTCCTGTCACAATCCCCGCTCACCAGAATTGTAGCTCTGTGTGTATCCCACTGCTGATGCAGGTTAATACGTTAACCAGAATTTCAGCCAGAAATAAAATTTTCTACCAGAATTAAGAAAAGAAAGTGCTATATTCTTCTTCCACATTTGACCCCTTTACTAGAAAACCTGGCTTGTCAGTTTTACTAGCTCAGTTACTAGACATGTCTCATGTTTTTCAAATATTGGCAAGTCATTTGTCTAAATTTCAGAACTAGTAAAGTTGTATCTGTTCATTAATGTATTTATATATTTATGTATTTGCCAGAACTGAGACTTGAACTTAGGACCTGGATGCTGTCCCTTGGCTCTTCCACTCAGAGTTTGTGAGCCACAGTTCTACTTCTGGCTCTTTGGTGGTTAATTGGAGATGTGAGTCGCATGAACTTTTGTGCCAGGGTTAGCTTCAAACTGCAGATTGCAGCCTTCTGAGCTAAGATTATAGTCATGAGCCACTGGTGCCTGGCTCCCTTCTATTTGAGAGGAAAGTATTAAAAGCGCAACAGGATCTGATATCCATGGATGTGTAAGGCAGGCGGTGGCTTCTTTGGGGACACCTCGGAGGTTGAAGTGGGAGCATTGATTCTGGACACTTGCAGCCAGCCCTTACTAAGCCCTCCTGCTAGGCTAGGATGGTTCTTCTGAGTCATCCCTTAGCTGTGCCCTTGCAGAAGACAAAGGAGGTAGCAGAGGGGTGGGTGTGCTCCTGAAAGGAATCGCATCCACAGTTAGTTTTCCCTGAAGAATGTCCTTTTTCTGCAGAAATTAAGAAAGGAATAAATCCTTCAGACGGCTGTCCTAGCCTCGATGTGTACTCATAAAACTGCTTGACAAACATGCACAGCTCTCAGTCTAGGGAAGGAAGGCAAGAACTAAAGTTTAGGCCTATTTGGGGGGGAGGGGGCAGTTGTGGGGCCTGAACTCTGGGCCTGGCCACTGTGCCTCAGCTCTTCAGCTCAAGGCTAGCGCTCTACCACTTGAGCCACAGCGCCACTTCTGGCTTTTTTCTTTATTTTGCTTATGTGGTGCTGAGGAATCAAACCCAGGGCCTCATGCATGCAAGGCAAGCGCTCTACCGCTGAGCCACCTTCCTAGTCCTAGGCCTGTTTTTGAGATGGGGTTTCTTTGTGTATGGAGAGACCCGCTTGGACTTGAACTCACAATCTGCTTTATTACAGTGATGCGTCGTCATATATAGTTGATTGTTATTTTAACACAATTGAACATAGGATTCCAACCTTTTTTTTTCTGGTCAGTTGTGGGCCTTGAACTCAGCCTGGGCACTGTCCCTGAGCTCTTCAGCTCAAGGCAAGTGCTCTACCACTTCAGCCACAGTGCCACTTCTGGCTTTCTGGATTCCCAGCATGTATTTCTCTTACATTATTGGTCTTCCTAGGAATTACAGTGCTATGTTGAAGAGAAATGGAGAGAGTGAACACCCTTGGCTTGTTCCTGATGTTGGAGGCGATGGTTTTAGTTTTTCACTCTTAAGTGTAATGCTGGCTATAGGTTTGTCACAAACATCCTCTATTATATTGAGGAATGTTGCATGCATTCTTAGCTTCTCCAGAGTTTTTGTCATAAAAAGATGTTGAATCTTGTCAAAAAGCCTTTTCTGCATCTGTTGAAATGATCATGAGATTCTTGTTGTTGATGTATTACATTTATGTATTTATTTATTTTTGGTTCTAGTCCTGGACTGTGAACTTAGGGTGTAGGCCCTGTCCCTGGGCTCTTGTGCTCAAGGCCACAGCTCTGCTCCTGGCTGGTGTTCACGTAGAGATAAGAATCTCACCAGCCTTTCTGCCTGAGTTGGCTTTGAGCCGCAATCCTCATCCATCATGCCTCTTGAGTAGCATGAGCTGCTGGTGGCTGCCTGAGACCCTATTTAAGCAATTTTAACCCTGGAGGATATCGTCTCGGTGCTGCCTTCTTCTTGTCCCAGCCCCCACTCCAGGGCTGCAGCTGGGTGCACCAGGGTGTAGATTTTTTACCCTTGCACCACGAGGCTAGGTAGGAGAAGAGCAGGGTGGGCTCTTGGGAGTGTCCCAGCTCCTAAAGAGCTAGCTGGGGAATGGTTCTTCCCGTGTTTCTGGCCGCCGGTGTCTGCAGGGCCGTGTCCTCAGCTCTCCTCTGTGATGCCCTCATACCTGGAGCAGTCATCTCTGTTCCATCGTGGGTCCGTTTCAGTGCGGACAGAGATTGCCCACCTGCTGAGGGTCCTGTCAGGGCACTGCTAGAGCTCTGCTAACATAGGAATACGGTGTGCAGGGTGTTGGCAACGAGTCTTTTCTGAAGAAAAGTCTGGTATAACCTCAAAGGGTAGCCAGCGTGAAGGAGACACTCTGGAGAGATTGTGTCTGTGAGACTCTGATATTAGTCCCCTGGGTAACTAGGATTGCAGGTCTGAGCCACCGGTGCCTGGCAAGTATTTTACTGACCTTGTGGGCAAGAATGGATGCATTGTGGGTATATTTGTTTTATTTTTTTTGGGGGGGGGTCCGGTCGTGGGGCCTGAACTCTGGGCCTGGGCGCTGTCCCTCAGCTCTTCAGCTCAAGGCTAGCGCTCTACCACTTGAGCCACAGCGCCACTTCCGGCTTTTTTCTTTTTGCTTATGTGGTGCTGAGGAATCGAACCCAGGGCCTCCTGCATGCAAGGCAAGCGCTCTACCACTGAGCCACCTTCCCAGCCCCTTGTGGGTATATTTGGTTAAGTAAAATATTTTGAAGTGGACTTCCCCTGTTTCTTTCCAGCTCTTAGTGTGGTCACTAGGACATCTAAAATGCCAGCTGCCCCTGGCCCTCGATGGGCAGCAGTGCAGGAGCAAGGGCAAGCTGACACCAGCTCTCTTACTTGTTGCATGGGCAAAAGAGGGCAGTCGTAGGTCTTCCGACTCAGAATGTTAAGTCTAGCAGACATATTGCTTGGGATGCAATAGCACTTGGTTCTGGTGGGATTGGAGATCATCTCTGAGGAGGGTTCTTGGGCACAAACTAACTGTACAATACACTGGAACTGATTAGGACTGACTATGCGATGGAAAGGAGAAAAGGGAATGAATGGCTATTCACTGTGTGGAGTACAGTGCTTATATCTGCAGAGACGTTGCAGGGATGTGAGCAGGTCGCTGTGGTTCTAGGAAATGAGAGAGCATGCGCAGTGTCCCCTGCCTGAGAGTGTGTGGGCTCTTCCGTGGGCCAAGGCACCAGGTGCAGTAGCAGCAGTATGAAGGCAGAGCTTGCTGGTGGTGGGGTTGTTTGTATTTGTGTGTGTCTTACTTTCTTACGTGGTGGAGAGGGCTCAGGCTGTGGTTGTCAAGAGAGACATGCATGTGCCGTCTCTCCTGTGTGCTGTGGGTGTGGGTGCTCTGAGCATTGAGTGTAGGGGAGCAGGCATTGAGGAGTTGGTGCTCCAGAGTTGGCTCTAGGGCAGCCTGAGCAGAGGCCTCCCTCGGGGCAGGATTCTGACCCACCGTACGCACGTGGTGCACAGGCTCCATGGCTGGCTTAAACTGTCTGCTTCTACACTGCTTCATAAGGGTGCTTTTAAAAATGCACCTTTGGATAATGTGGCTATTTTTCTTTGTGTTTCAGATTCCTGTATGAATCATCAATGCGAACTTTGAGAGAACTTCTGAACTCATGAGGAGGTCACCATCTTTGGACATGTACAAATGGGGAAGGACTCACAAAAATGAAATTTGTGTCCATTTTCCTGTGTGTTGTGTTGTTTTGCTGTGCTGTGTTTTGTGGCTAGGCTAAGCATGGAGGGTCCCCTGAGCCTGTACACGAAGGGGCCTGTCTGAGCTTCCCGGAGGTGAAGATGGCACCCAGCGTTGTGCCTTCTGCTAGTAGCTGTCTGAGAGCAGGCAGCAAGCCGGCATGGACAGGGAGCTAAAGGTCAAGGTGGAGGATGGCCGGCAAGGAGTTTATTCCTTCTGTACGTAAGCGCTAGCCAGTGTAGGAAAAACATGGCCTCACACCTGACTGTGGCTGGCTGCCAGGCCCGCTTCGGAACCAGCCTGCAGTAGTGCTCCCCTGTGGCCCTCAGCCTCTGATGTGAAAAGTGTCCTTAGCGTCTGACCTTCAGTCTGAACCCAGCAGCCTCACAGTCTGCAGTAGTAGCCTCTTTCCACTAAAGTCAAGGTAAACTCATAGTGGCCAAAGAAATTTGATCTCTTTAGAGTCTAAAGTATAAACAGTAAGCAATACAAACCAGTAAGTTAATTCATAGTCCAGTGGCAAAGTTTGAGCTAGGATATTTCAGCCCCTCCTACCTGAGGGCCACAGCAGAGACTCTGTTCTTGCCTCATTTCTGCTCTTCAGGAAGAGGCACAGTAACTGGAGGCTTGTTGAGTGCTTGCATAAATAGTATATTTAATATCAAGGATGTTGGTGGTGTTGCTGTACAAACCCCTGGTACAAAGTAAAAAGGACACTTTTCTTCCAGCAAAACTGCTTTTAGAAATGATGTGTGTGTCTACATGTGTGTGTATGACTTGCAAACAGTGAGAAGAAGCCACGTGTTTGTGTATTTCATTAATAAATATTAGTGAGTTCTCTCTGGGAGAAAAAGGTTACTTTCTTGGATAAACCTCACATTAGGTTCCCTGAAGGCCAAGTTTCAGGGCCTCCCCCAGTGAGCGGCAGTAGGAACGTAGAATCCATCCTGCATTGAGACCTGGGCACCGTCCCCATGAGCTGTGAGGAACACGGATCTGTCGTCCATGGAGACCTGGGCACCGTCCCCATGAGCTGTGAGGAACACGGATCTGTGTCCATGGAGCCCTGGGCACCGTCCCCATGAGCTGTGAGGAGCACGGATCTGTCGTCCATGGAGACCTGGTCACCATTAGGAGGGGAATGTGGAACAGATGGACCCTCGTGATTCCCTCCTTTTCCTGAGTACTGTTAGCGTACTTACTGGAACAATATTGCGTGTTTATGGTAACTTTCTAACCTGCCCTATGGTGCTGGGTAGTCTCAGAGCACCCTGGGTTCTGATAAACACACATTTGAATAGATCATAATTTAGTGCTATTTAAACTTCATATTCAGCCTCGAAACAACAACAAAAAAATGCTGAGCTGGGCATCGGTGGCTTACTCCTGTGATCCTAGCTACTCAGGAGGCTGAGATCTGAGGATCACGGTTCAAAGCTAGCCTGGGCAGGAAAGTCTGTGAAACTTTTTCTTTTTTTTTTGGTCAGTCATGGGGCTTGAACTCTGGGTTTGGTCGCTGTCCCTCAGCTCAAGGCCAGCGCTCTACCACTTGAGCTACAGCACCACTTCCGGTTTTCTGGCAGTTTATTGGAGATAAGAGTTTCACAGACTTTCTAGCCGGGCTGGCTTTGAACCTCGATCTTCAGATCTCAGCCTCCCTGAGTTGCTAGGATGACAGGCATGAGCCACTGGCACCCACTTCTGTGAAACTCTTATCTCCAATAAACCACTTGAAAACCGGAAGTGGCGCTGTGGCTAATGTGGTAGAGCGCTTGCCTTGAGCTGAAGAATGCAGGGACAGCACCCAAACCCAGGGTTCAAGCCCCATGATTGACCAAGACAAAAAACAAAAAAAAAAAGTGCTAATAACATGGTGCGTATATTTTTTTTTGAAAATCTACAAAGAAAGCCAGGAACCAGCAGCTCACGCCTATAATCCTGTCAGGAGGCTGAGATCTGAGGATCATGGTTCAAAGCCAGCCTGGGCAGGAAAGTCCACAAGACTCTCATCTCCAATTAACCACTAGAAAACCAGAAGTGGTGCTGTGGCTCAAGCGGTAGAGCGCTAGCCTTGAGCTGAAGAGCTGAGGGACAGCACCCAGGCCCAGAGTTCAAGCCTCATGACTGACAAAAAAAGCTACAAGAAATCTACTTCTAAGAATAGGAAGGAACATTTAAGGCTTTACTGGGGAATTGCTGAGCAATAGCAGGATACAGATTAGTATTCCAGCGAATACAGTTAATTTTGAAAATCTGTCCACACATTTGCTAACTATACCATGCTCTATCGGCATATGACATTGTTGCTACAAACATTCTATCAATTTTAATAAAAAAAAGTCACTTGGGAAGGGTTTGTGCTAATTTGTCACTGCCAGTTAATTGAGGATGAAATCCTGTTTTACACAGAAATGCAGCCTCTGATTTTCATAGCGGGGTACACATGCACTGTGAGCGAAGACCACACTCACCATCCTTGTGGTTGTGTACTCTGTAAGCCTCTCCAACATCTTGTCTGGAGAATTGATAGTGATTCTGCTGCTGCATTATCCTGTGAGAATGGTGTAGGTTTCGGACACACACACATATGCTTCACATTGTTTGAGCTTCTGAGGCTTCATGAGAAGTGGAAGCCCATGCTTGGAACTGAGACCAGAGTTCGTATCTCACAGCTACAGTGAGAATCCCCCCATGGCTGCCACCAGGCACTTCAACCGCCCCCTGCCCAGCTCCCCTCGAGTGCTCCATTCCCAGTGTCACAGTCATTCTGAAGGCCAGGTCCCTCAATGACTTTTGTAGGTGGCAAGCTTGGTGACACATGCCTGTAGTTTTAGTACTCATTGTCAAAACAAGACTTGCCTAGGGGCCGAGATTGGGAGGACTGTGGGTTGCTCAACAAAACTCATGGCCAGGTGCCGATGGCTCCCACCAGTCATCCTAGGAGGAGACAGAGCTGAGGGTTGCAGTTCAAAGCCAGCTCTGGCCGGAAAGTCCAATTAATCTCCAGAAATCTGGAAGTGGAGCTATAGGTCAAAGTAGTAAAGTGCTAGAAAAAGAGCCCAGGCCCAGACTTCAGGCCCCATGACAACAGAAAAAACTCATGGTGGTACCTGCCTGTCATTCTAGGTACATAGGAGTCATAAGTAGGTTGTGGCCCAAGCTAGCCTAGACCAAAAAAAAAAAAACAACCCCAAACACTAGACCTGGAAAATGAGGCATAAAAACCCCTCTAGGTGTTGCTTAAGTGGTAGAGTGCCTACCTCTAAGCACAAGACCCAGTGCAAATCTTAGTACTCCAACAAGGTAATAACAAACTGTTTAGCCAGGTGCAGGCTAAATGCTCATGCTTGTAATCCCAAACCCTTTGAGGCTGATTACAAGAGGATTGTGCTTAAGGTCACCCCAGGCAGAAGAGTTCACAGACCTCCTTAACCCACAGCTGTGTGTGGTGGTCATACCTGTCATCCTAGCTTTGGAAAACAGGATCTCAGTTCTAGGCCAGGATAGGCAGAGAAGTCCATGAGCCTCCACCTCAGCTGTGACCAGAAACTTAAAGCAAGCAGATTGAGGTCTAGTCACACCCAGGCAGGAAACCAGCCCATCTCAGAAACAACCCACTGCTGCGCGCATACCTGCAGTCCTGGCTCCTAGGGGACGAGGTCTGTGGCCATGGTTTGATACCAGCTTGGGCAGAGTCTGAAACTTACCTCCCAACAAAGCTACCAAAAAGCCATGAGCAGAGCTGACAAGTGAAAAAAGCTCAAGGTGAGTGCCCAGGCCCTGAGTTGAAGCCTATGATAGCATGCACACGCGCGCGCGCACACACACACACCCCACAAGCACCGAAAAGGGCAGGCTCAGCCACAGAGTATCTGCCTAGAACATCCCTGAGTTCAAAACTGACACTGCAAAAACAAATCAGAACAGAATTTGCAGAACTTTGCCTGTGTGGTTGGAAAGCAGTTTCATCATTGTTAACGTGAAGGTTCCTTGCAATGCAAGACATTTCCACCGTTCAGGCATGCCCTCATCTACATGCATTTGAGGGAGGGTACAACCAGCCCCCTATCCGCTAGCTTCTGGCATCTCCATTTTCTCCTGGTGTCCGTGACTACAGGCCCTGTCTGCATCAAGCCCAGAGGCCCACGGGTATCTAACAAGGCAGCAGGTGCCCTGGCCTCCCGCCAGTGAGTGGAGGGCCCGTGGCACTGCCTACTCCCAGCACCTAACTTCCACAGTCCTGCTCGGGCCAGCAGCTTTTCATGGACCCATGTGAGGGATCGTTTGGGATCAACGATACCAGCCACAGGTTGTGTTTTCTTGGGGGAAGAAATGTGAGAAGCACCTGTCCTTATTTGGTATCCAGGCATTCTCCAGACCTGTGCCCCTTGAGCACCGGACCTTGGTCGAGGCTTATTTCTGTCTACATTAGCTCCTTGCACAAGCTGTCACTGGCTGCCCCCCTGTCAGGCTACCAGTGGTAGGAGCCAGCCTGGGTTAGTCGTGACTGAGTGTAGAAGCCAGCACAGCCCTGGGCAAGACTGCGGCAGTGTGCTGCAGCCTGCCTGTTGTGAGCCTTTTCCCCAGGGGTGAGAGGAAGCCTGGGCCACATCTACACTTGCTGAGTGGATCACGGGCTCCATGCAATGCCCTTGTCACATTTTGAGGCTGGGTGTGACTAAATGCATGCATTAAAAAGTTGCTGGAATGCTCAGGGTAAGATTTTTGTTTGATTCCTTTGAGACTAGAATGAACGTGGTCATACCACAAGTAAGCTCTGAAGTAGAGCAGAAGAGCCGGGAGCTAGTAGCTCACCCCTGTAATCGTAGTTACCCGGGGCTGAGATGTGAGGATCGCAGTTCAAAGCCAGCCGGGGCAGGAACATCTATGAGACACTTATCTGCAGTTAACCACCAGAAAACTCGAAGTGGAGCTGTAGCTCAAACTGGTAGAGCGCTCGTCTTGAGCATGACTGTTACTCAGACACAGTGCCTAGGC